CCATAAAAATCCTCCTCTCCAAAAGATCTTCAGGCTTGAAAGGTAAATTCTATTTAGCATTCAAAGATAAATTATCACCAATATTACTTTTTTTTTGTTTTTAATAGAAACAGAAAGAGTATTCCCGAAGCCATTCAAAGAACCAAGTATGACTTTAATACCAAAACCAGGCAATAACATTAAATAATATGAAACTTTAGACTAATATTTCTCATGAATATAGATGCAAAATAATTACAAAAATCTTAGCCAAAAGAATTCAACAGTTGTTGTTATGTGTCATCAGGTAGCTTGTGACTTATAGTGACCCTATGGTCAACAGCATTGAGACCTGCTCTGTCCTGTGCCAACTTTACTGTCTCCAACACACCTACCCTCATTACTCTAATTACTGTATCAATCTATCTCGTCAACGGTCTCCCTTTCTTTCTCCATCCCTCCACCCTTCCAAGCATTATGTACCTCTCCAAGTACAGGTTCCTCCTTGAAACATGCCCAAAATATGTCAAACAAAGCCTCAGAATCCTTGCCTCTGAGGAACAGCCAGGTTTCACCCTCTCTAGTATAAACCTGTTTGTTTTCCTGGTATTCCACGGTATATTCAACACTTGTCTCCAGCACCATAGATCAAAGGTATCAATTGTCTATCATACTTAGTCAAGCTCTCTGATGCACAGCAAGCATTTGTGAAGACTATGGCCTGGATCAGGTGCATCTTGGTCTCCAGACTGATGTCATTGCTCTTTGGTACTCTGGAGAGGTCCCTGATAGCTGACTTTCTCAATGCAATTTGTCTATTTCCTGGCTGCTGGTACCAAGAGTGTTGAACAACATAAGGAAACAATTACTGTAATTCATCACAAACCAAACTATAGGAATCACATGATCCTATCAATTAATGGAAAAAGTCCTTTGAAAAAAATTCCTACATCCCATCCTCATCCAAATACTCAACATAATAGTACTTGAAGAAAATATTCCAAACATAGTGAAAAGTATATATGCAAAAACAAGAGCTAGTATCATTATTATTATTATTAATAATAATAATGATAATTGTGGTTTATAGTTTATTTACAAAATTTGAATACATTGTTTTTCATCCCAGACTCTTCTACTTCCCTTTACCCCCCACCCATCAATTGTAGAACCCCATGATTAAACACTTTCTCTGCCACCCCCCACACTTCCTTATCCCTCTGTTTATATAAGTCTTAATGGAGAAAAACTAAAGACATTCTTCTTATGAACAGGGATCAGACAAGGATGCCAATAATCACCATTCCTATTCAATTTTATATTGGAAGTAAGTACTTGGCATCACAACAAGAGAAGGAAATAAAAGGCATCCAAATTGGCAAGAAGATCTTAAAACTATTTCATTATGCAGAAGATATGATAGTGTACACAGTGAAGCCCAAAGATATAACAAAAATAAAAACCCTTTTAGCACTAGTAGATAAATGTAGTAGATTAGCAGGATACAAGATCAGCATACAAAAATCAGTGGGATTTCTCTACAGCAAAATAGAAAATAAACCTAAAAAAGCAATATTATTTGTAGTAGCCAACTACAAGAGTAAATACTTAGGAATTAATCTAACTAAAGACAAAAAGTCCTTTATAAGGAAAAATACAAAGACAACTACAAGAAACAACAAGAGATCTAAGTAAATGAAAAATATTCCCTGTTAATATATGGAAAACTCACAAGAGATAAAATTGTAATCCTACCAAAAACAATCTATATACTCAACACAATCACTATACAAATACCAATCTCATTTTCAAAAGATAGAAAAGGCAATTGATGTGTTTATTTGGAAAGGGAAAAGACTCAGAATAAGCTATACTCTTTAAAATAAAACTTAATTTGAAGGCATACTACATAGTCACAAAAGGTACTATATAGCCATAGTAATCAAAAGAGCATGGCTTTAATGACAGACAAATAGACCAATAAAATAGAGTTGAAAACCCAGAAATTGAACCCATGCAGGAGTGACATCACTTCCTAAAGAACATGCCTCTGGAAACTCTATGAGATTTGATAAATGATGATGGTTACAGAAAGGCTTGATGCCTTTTGTTCATAGGGTCACAATAAATTGTGCTTTACTTGATGGCAATCAACAATTCAACAACAACAATCTATTAAGATAAAGAAGAACAAACAGATTCCTCCTGGAGAGGGTGAGACGAGGCTGCTTCTTAGAGGCATAAGATACAAAATAGGACCAAATTTAGAGGCTCTAAACTATGGCACAAATAAGGCTTGCAAAAATAGCCAGAAATGAACAAGCACGAGAAGATAAAATCGACAAACAGAACCTTCTAAAATTAAGTCCCTATATTCACCAAAACCTTTTTCCAGTAGAGTTCCAAGAAAACGAATAGAAAGAAAATTGGCAATGACAATTCAGACAATTTGTAACTACAGTTTACACAATACTATAGGACATCTACAAGAAAAAGACTGTTAACCTAAAAACAAAATGAACAAATGACATTAAAAGGCTTTGCACAAAAAGAGACATTTGCATGGCCAACAGACAAATGAAGAAATACACTTCAAAACCACAATGTGATACCATCTTACCCCAGTAGAAGTTGTTGTTGTTGTTGCTATGTGCAATCTAGTTGCTTGCGACTCACAGTGACCCTATGTACAACAGCCCTAAACCCTGCTCTGTCCTGTGCCAAACTCACTATCTCTGACACAGCTACCCCAATTATGCCAGTAGAGGGTCTTTCCCTCCTGAGCTGTCCCTCCACCCTCCCAAGAGTATGATGTCCCTCTCCAAGGACTGGTTTCTCCTTGCAACATGTCCAGAGTTTGTCAGACAGAGCTTCAGAATCCTTGTCTCCAAGAAGTAGCCTGGCTTCACTGCATCCAGGACGAATTTGTTTGTTCCCCTAGAAGTCCATGATATATTCAATACTCTTTTCCATCAATAGTGCTCAAAGGTATCAACTCTCCTTCTATCATCCCTAGTCATTGTCCAGCTCTTTGATGCATAGCAATTAATTGCAAAGACTATGGCCTATATCAGGTACACCTTAGTCTCCATATTAACATTGTTGCTCCTCAGTCCCTTGGAGAGATCTCTGACAGCAGAGTTTCCTAATGCGATATCTTTTGATTTCCTGGATGCTGGTACCAAAAGTGTTGATTGTAGAGCCAAGAAAACTAAAATTGTTAGCAATCTCAAACTCTTCAGTAGCAAAGTTTGAGAGAACAGTAAGCAATAAATGTTGGAAAGCATGGTAAAAGAGTGCATATAGAACTCTCGTGAATTGATGGGACTGTAAAATAGTACAATCACTACAAAAGGCAGTTTGTCCTTTCCTTAAAAACCTGAAGATATAAATCTTATATGATACAGCTATTATAAAGCTAGGAATATATTCCAAGGAAATGAAACATGAAGTATGAAACAGTGATATTTATACATATGTTCAAAACACAATTATTAATAATAGCAAGAAGATTGAAAGACCCCAAACACCCATCAACAAACAAATGGATTGAGAAATTGTGGTTCATTCACACAATGGCATACTGTGCAATATCAAAGAACAGTGATTTTGTAAAATACATCATATAAAATGGGAGCATCTAGAGAATGTTAAGACAAGTGAACTAACTCAGCCTCATAAGGACAAATACTGCATAAGACCACTATTGTAAAAATATAATGCTAACTAGTTACAGATGAATAAATATCCAAAGGAAAATGAGGAAAAAGGAAGGAGGCAGTAAAAGAGATAGGGGGAAATAACTAAGCAGAGTTTAGTGGGAGGATGGGAGGTTGAAAGAATAGAAAAGATGAGTTGATGGTATATAATCATAATAATAACATATCCAAGAAAAATATAATAGTATAAATGAAACAAGCTATTTAGTTATTCACTATAATCCTAGAGATGGAATTACAGATTAAAAAATTAAAAATATGTATGAGTATATAAGATAAAGCAAAACTGACTTTATTAATTGTTCCTGAAATCATTCACGTTATTAATCATCCTAAAAAGACTGAAAAGAACTGAGGACCAAATTCATTGATACCTTCTTGTTGTTGTTGTTAGGTGTCAGATAATCAGCTCTGATTCACAGCAGCCCTTTTGTACAATAGAATTAGACATTGTCCACTCCTGTACCATCTTTACAACTGTTGCTGTCCTTGAGCTCATCATTGTAGCCATTGCATCAATTCTTCTTTTTCTGTCTTCTTATTTTCTGATCAGACTTGTCTTTCCCATAGAGAAAGATATGATAACATGCCCAAATTATGTGAGAACAAGTTTCACTAGAATCATTAAAAAGTTATATTGAATTTGGAAATCATCTTTTTCAATATGCCATTACACTTAAATATTCAGGTAAAAACTCTGTTCTTGTAGCATAGTTAAATACAAATATCACTCACATCCCTCCTTAACCATGAGATTATTATATGACGTTCATAAAGGGCCAAAGAAAATTTAAAACCAAATTTTAAGTATGGAAATTGCCTTGGATTTTCTCTGGTAGCCCAACCATATTTACATCCTCATTGTAAAAATTCACTCCATTCAATGACAATGGAAATGTGAAATTCTACTCCAAAAGTAGATAATAATCACATTTTATTTCAACATGGACTCAACACTGAATCTAAGAACATATTTACATCTTTAAACATATTTCCTAACAAGCATGTGTTCTTCCGGGTGGGGAGGGGATATGTTAATCTCTAACAAGACACATTTAAAATGTTTTTAATATTAAGAGAAACTTAAACTAAAATGTTAAGCCTACTGTTTTGCACTTAACATTTAATAAGATAAATTATGAAGAAAAGAGCAAAAATAACAAAATAACTATATTTAAATATCACAAATGCCTAGCAACCCAATGTCTTCATTGAAACAGTGTAATAGAACACTACTTCTATTAGGTAATGTTGTGTGTTGAGACATCTTTCAGGAAGCAGGATTTATTTTTGTTTTTCATATTAAACCCATTCTTTCGTTAGAGCAGCAATTTCCTAAAGAAAACACAAAAAGGAAAATTAACAAGGGATCCTTCATTCTTGCATTATTATTTGAGTTAATGGCCATATTGCACATTAAATACAAAATTATGTACAACTTTATTTATCAGTTGTGATTTGTCTAACAAACATTTACTGAGAATTTATCACAAGCACTTTGTACACACAATATTACAGAGTGGAGAAATAAGAAACAAGGAAGCCAACAACAATCACAACCCACACAGAGCTTTAATTTTTATTTCCTTTAGTAAAGGAATTATAAATTAAAGAAGCAGATTTCTAAATCTGTTATTTATTTACATTGATTCAGCAACACAATTGACAAATCAGTGGAAAAAATGGTCATATAGTTTCTTCACCAGAATTTGATCAATGATCTTGAACCAATAACTTCATGAAAATATAAATTAAGATGCAAAAATTTACTTCATTTGTGTGTACATCTATTCCTTCTCAGAATACTTTTTTACTGGAACAGTTCTATCAGAGAATCTGTTTTTAATATTAGTATTTCTCTTCTTTTTATGCCTTCTTTATATTATAAATGAGAACACACAAAATAAACTTGAATCGACCCATCTCTGCCATGTCTTCTTTCCTAAAACAAATATTTATTGAACCTATGCCAGAGAAGAATGGACAATCTTCTCCTGTGGGACTTACTGTCTCTGAAAACTTATTGGAGGGTCAGCTATGGGTTGGCATGGAACAACAACCTGCATCATATGAAGCACAACATTAAATTCTATTACTAGGAACATTCTAGAAATATCTGTCTATGGGTAACTCATGTTCTAATGGGGAACACTGAAGTATTGTGCTGTGATTAGAATAAATATTTGTAAATTAAAGTAGAGGTCAGTACCTGATAGGGTGGTATTAATAATTTTAGAATTCTCAATATATGTTTCAGTTTTAAAACTATAGTTATATAATTATAAAACTAACATCACTTTTCTTCAACCTATAAAACTAGTAACTTGGTCTCTGAATTCTGTTTTCTCTAGTTATGTAGTTTAATATGTCAGTTTACCAGGACAGGAACTTCATCTATCCTAGATCTAGGTGTGGCTGGTTCTCCAGTCATATGTAAGCTGTATCTTAACCTGCCTGTTTACTAGGAAGAGAACTGTGCCCTTCATGAATTACTGATACTTATATGTGAACTGCTCTTTTAGATGTAGAAATTCCTTATTTTACTAACAAAAGTGCATTGTTAAATGAGCTGGTGTTTTACCCTAGTATAACACACAATGACCATTCCTAGAGGGAAAGGCAGTATTGGAGGGGACTCCAGATATGCATAATAAAGTGCTTATGGATATTGCAATCCATTTGTCTTATTGGCGATTGACTACGGAAAGAATCCCTTGTGTTCAGTAACATACTCAGTGATCAGTTCATAGTGAACTAATATTGCTTGCAGAATGGTGATTATGATATCGTTTGGAAAGAAGATTCTGTTTGCCCAAAGTTAGCAGATAACGTAAACTACTTATGTAAGTTGAAAGTTTTATTTGTATCAAATTAAGATCTGTTGACAGAGATATTACTTTACAGGTATGAACTTTCAATAATACCATCGGGATATGAAAAAGATAGAGAATATATATTTACATTGTTTTCTGTCAACAGAGGCATCCTAAGAGACTATGACTAAAACTAAATATTGGAACTCATCAGTATTGAACACATTCACAAAGTGATACCTAAACCTAGGCATGAATTTTTAGCTGTGTTGAGTCTGAGAAAGATGGGAATCCCAGAACACTTGATAGTGCTTATGTGAAACAGATCAGGAGGCAGTCATCAGAACACAGCAAGGAAACACTGCATGGTTCAAAATTGAGATGTGTCCTATCTCCATAGCTTTTAAATTTATATGCAGAACAGATTATCCAGGAGCCTGGGCTCTAAGAGGAGAAGTGTGGCATCAAGATTGAAGGTAGACTCATCAACAATGTGTATTATGCAGATGACACAACCCTGCTTGCTGAAATTGAGGAGGACCTGAATCGTTTGCTGTGGAGGGTCAAGGACTATAGCCTTCAATATGGATTGAAGCTCAACATCAACAAAACAAAGATTCTCACCACTGGCCCAACTGGGAGCGTGATGATAGATGATGAAGAGATAGAGATAGATTGTTGACAGTTTCAATTTGCTTGGCAATCAATATTCTTGGTACCAGCAGCCAGGAAATCAAAAGACAAATTACATTGGAAAATCTGCTGTCAGAACCCTCCAAGGTACTGAGGAGCCTCAATGTCTGTCTGGAGTCTAAGATGTACCTGATACAGGCCATAGTCTTTGCAATCACTTGCTATGCATCAGAGAGCTGGACAATGACTAGGGATGATAGAAGGAAAGTTGATGTCTTTGAGCTCTGTTGATGAAGAGATTGAATATACCATGGACTGCTAGGAGAACAAACAAGTTCATTCTAGATGGGGTGAAGCCAGGATGCTCCTTGGAGGCAAGGATTCTGAAGGTCCATCTGACATACTTTGGACATGTTGCAAGGTAGAATCAGTCCTTGGAAAGGGACTTCATGCTTGGGAGGGTGGAGGGACAGCAAAGGAAAGGAAGACCCTCAATGAGATGGATTGATTCTGTCACTGGGGTAATGAGGATAGGTTTGTCAGAGTCAATAAGATTGACAAGGGATAGAGCAGGGTTTAGGGCCGTTGTACTTAGGGTCACTATGAGTCGCAAGCGACTCAATGGTACATAACAGCAACAACAACAACAACAACAACAGCAACAGTAAATATTGAGGGAGCTTACATGGCTCTGTGGTAAGGAGTTGCACTCCTAACCCAAAGGAACATGGTTTGTATCTACTAGATGTTCCCTAGAAGAAAGATGGGTATCTCTGATGTGATTTATTTCCTCTGAAGACCTGCTGCAGGGTCAACTATGAGTAGGTTCTGGCTAAATGGGACCTAACAACAACAATAAATGTGGCTCAAGACACTTGTTAATCCTTCCCTATGTAAATGGAGATAAGAGAATCTAAATATCTATTGTGTTTATTGGCTAAAGGGAGTATAAAGAATTTTAAGTTATTCCATTTATGACCTATCGATGCTTTACTTGTGATTATAAATTCTACTGAAATCCTTTAATTAAGAGAGAAAAAGCAAGAGAATCAATAGAAAATAACTTAAATAAAATCTGGAAAGGGAGAGCTACTGCCTGATTAACTTTTGAAAGGAATGCATTAAATGCAAAGATCCCAAATCTGAATAAACCCATTTGGGTCAGTTATGTGTTACAATATAAAGTATATCTTAGTAAACCAAGTCATTTAACAATTTTTCATCATTATTATTAATTTTTCCATCCTTTCTCCCTGAAGTTCCTTCTGGAAAATAAAAGTGAAATTTTCCAGCTAAATAAAATGCGTAATTGTTTTATACTTGATTATATTAACCCTTACTTACTTTATTTCCTCAAAAGGAAAGGATGCTACTGTACCAGAATGTCTAAACAGCATTGGAGCCTCCCCAAATTTGAAGAATAGATATGTAGTTTTGCTACCTTAATAAAAATCGATAGTTTCTATTCTTTCAAGAATGTACTTAGAATGTTTATCTCTTTTTGTTGTTGTTTATGGTATTAATTTCTAACTTTCAGTAAAATATGTATAAAGAAGCAGTAGAATTAAAAAGAAAGTTGGACTTGGTCATCTTACTGTGATTCACACATCTTGGTGGAACTTAAGAAGAAAGAAAATTCACCAAACAGTGATATCTTTGTAATTGAAGCATTCAATATTACCATGGGGAAAGGAGATTTTAATTTTAAAGGAATTTTAATTTGTCTTGTATTACCATCAAAAGAGTCCCGAAGTACAGTGTCCATTTCATTTATGTGCTTCTGAATAGCTGTGGCCACGTCACTGTGGACATACTTTATGCCACTGATATCACCAAACACCTGAAAAGTAGTGATAAAACAGATGTATATTATCTTACTACAAAAATAGAGAGTTGGATTTTTCCCCACTTTATTCTATTGGTAGTACAGTTTAGAAATTGCATAAAATGCTATACTATTTTACTAATTCTTTAATTCAAGAGCAGTTTACAATTTACATTTTATGGGTCAGTTCTTTTCCTGATCATTACAATCATTTTGTAATAACTTGGCCATAAATATAAAATTTATATGTATATAGAACACAGGGTCGTAATAAATAATTTGAACACATCTGAAAGAGGAATTATACTAATTCTAATAAATTAGAATATTACCAAAAATAAAATAAAAATTAAAGATTTGTTAAATTGTTAAATGTCATTGAGTCAGATGGACCTATAGGTGACTGACTCTCCAGCAGGTTTTCAGGGACAACTGGAGGATTTGACAGCACAACTTCTTACCACTAAGCTACCAGTATTTCCTTATTTCCCTTATTAAAAAAAAATTAAAAACTATATATTACACTGGTTTACTTACAAAGTTTGTACACATTTGGAGGGACTGGAAAGCATTATGTTAAGTAAATTAAGTTCCATAAGGACAAACGCGGTATAAGACCTTATTGTAGAACATGTATGAGGATCCAAGTGGGGGGAGAGGGAAGAATTGGGGTAAGGATGGGCAGGGAGAGTAATGGGGGGGGGTTTAATCATAGGTCACACAATTCCATGAGTGGAGCAAGAGGTCGGTAAACAAAATGGGAAAGGTCCAGTGTGGAAAAGAATGTATCCTTTCCCCCTCTTTAATAATACCTCTGTTCTAAAATGCATAGAAAACAAAGCTGTAGAAAGAAAATGCACAATGAAACTTCTTTTTTTTTTATTTTTAGGTGTGAATAGCTAACTTTATTGACAAGCAATGGAGACTTCACACAGGTTTTGAAAAGATTATCTACTTTTCTAATCAAGCTTCTAAAACATATGCATTATACACACACACATATTAAAACTGGCTTATTTACAAAGTTCGTATACATTTTTTTTCCAAACTGGATCTTTCCCGTTTCCTTCATCCCCCTCCACCCACCAAATTGTGTGACCCTATGATTAACCACCCTCCACCTCCTTGTCCATCATCATCCTCTGCTCCCACCCACCCTCCGCCTTGGATACTTATCTTTATGGGACTGAGTTAATTCACTCAGCATAATGTTCTCCAGTCCCTCCCAAGTTAAGTAGTGAGTTACAGAATCATTGCTCCTGCATGCTGCATAGTATTCCACTGTGAGAATGTACCATAATTTTTCAATCCATTCTATTGTGATTGGACATTTGATTTCACGTTTTTGTAATGGTGAATAATGAACGCTGTTATGAACATTGGTGTACAAGTCTCTGTGCCTACTTTCTCATTTTTTCAGGTATATTCCAAGCAATGGAATAGCTGAGTCATACGGAATTTCTATGTTCAGCTTTTTTTTGAAACATCAAACTGCCTTCCAAAGTGATTGTACCATTTTAAAATGAAAGTCACACAAGTGTTCATAGGATCGCTATGAGTCACCTACAACTTGATGGCACTTAACAACATAGAGAGGGAACAGTTGGCCCAATGGACAGAAAGTAATACTACCAAGCCAAAGGCGGATGACTCTAATCCACGGCCCTCAGCCGTGTTTTTCATTGTTTTTGGTCAAACATTCTTCTAGGTGGTATAGCCCTGGTGTGTCCACTTGCCATACAGAGGTAACTTGTGGTTCCTGTGAAGCTGAACACTGTGACACTGATGTGTGAAATGCGATTAATGATTATCCATGGTGGATGGTGTTGGGTGGAGCTCCCCAATTAAAATACGCTTGGAAGCAGAAGTGGCATCCACTTCCATAATAGCTTTCCTCTGGAAACCCTATGAACCTGGAGAAAGGATGAAAGTCACGCAAGTGTCGAGGACTTTCATTCATATGGTCGCTATGAGTCTTCTAAACTCAATGGCACTTAACAACAACAACCAACAGTTTAGAAGACTCCCCATCTCACCACAATCTCTCCCACATTTAATACTTGCTGTCCTATTAAACTTTACCACTCTTACTAGAGTGAGATGGTATCTCATTGTGGTTTTGATTTGCATCTCTATTATTGCCAGTGATTTGGAGCATTTCTTCATGTGTCTGTTGGCCATCCAAATATCTTCCTCTTGAAAATCATTTCTATGTTGTTTGCCCATTTCATAATTATGTTTTCAGTCTTTTTCTTATGGAGGCCATTTAGGATTCTATAAACTGTTAAAATGAGACCCTTGTCCAAACCAAAATGGTATTGCCAAATGTTTTTTCCTCCCAGTCAGTAGGATTTCTTTTTACTCTGCTGGAAATAGTATAAAATAAAATATTTATTTTAAAAAATTAATGGGCATAGATCAGTAGTAATTAATTCTATATAATACAATATATATGAATAAGTGTATGAAGCACATATAAATGAAGAATTTTAATAAAGCATAATGTACATGAGTGAGATACAATGTACATTAATTATTGTATGCAAACCAATAAAAAAGGAAAAAAGAAAAAAATAAAAATAAATGTAAATGGGAAGGAAAACAAAATCCCCCTAAAGCACATGCATTATAGAAAATGGAAAAGCAGAGAACACAAAAGCCACCCATAATCAACCTGATGATTAGTTTAGGTCCTTTTACATTTTATGTATATAGCAATAACAACATATACACAAACAAGAATACATTTTTATCTGGTTGAGGTTGCACATTATGGATTCATGCTTTTTAAATATTGCAAGTATTTATTAATTCAAAGCCCCAAAGCCATGAGTATTCTGACAAACAAGAATACACTATTTTGACTCAATCAAGAAAGACAAAAAAACAGTCAGCCATTCTTGGGGACAAAAAATTTATAGACAAAAAATGGTGAACACTAGATACTGGCAGAGCTGCAGTTAAAATCCTGCATTCCTTTAATGTGTAATTTAAAACATAAAGCAATAGAGTATAATGTGTCTAAGAGTGCTATCAGATTTCTATTAAAAGTTAATAATGGATTCCTTCATTTACAGACAAGAGATGTACACATGTATCGTGGTTACTATGAAATTGCAAATACAAACACATGCACATATGCCTCCTCTCACATGTCTTTCTGCCCCTCTGTAGCCAACTAATCAACCTGACGGACAGTAGTCAGAAGTGGTGTAGAAAGATGCTTACCTTACCTATTATAGTAAAGATATTTACAAATTGCTTAACTCACTAACACTACTTTGTAGCATACAGTGTCACCTCAAGACATCTAAAAAAGCTAAAATGCTGCAAAAAGATTAAATAAATTGTCCACAAGAAAACAAGATACTTTAAAAAAATTGTACATAATAGACTTATAATCTAACAAAACTTTTAGTAGGAATTTATTGTACTCAAGGGAGGAAGATGGGCACTCTCCTTCCATAGAGTTTACAGTCTCTGAAAAGGCACTGGAAGGTCAGCTAATGTCTGAATTGATGAAATATAACAACAACAAACTCTATCCTTAGAAAACTTTTTTGTATACCAAACCAATTAACTTTAAGTATAACTATCAACCATACAAAAATCATGTTTGAGTTGGTACACAGTTTATTCATAGACTCTTTAAAATAAGATAACAAAATTTGGTATGCTATATCCTGAAAAATCCTCTTTCTACATTACTTATGGCCTTCTGACCTAAAGACTACCCAAATGAAAACATTGTAAGCTATATCAACAATCAAATGGGCAAACTACTTTAATTTCTCTGGATATAAGAAAGGACAGATACTTTACTGATATTTTCTGATTATAGAAACAATTTTGTCATTTCTGAATTCTTCTTCCGTCTATTAATGAGGTTACAAATTATATTCTCCCTTACCTGTTGCTCTTGCGTTGGGACTGACTCTTAGATGACTCTCCGGCTTGGTTTTGGGTGCAGTAAATGGGTGTAGTTTTGGGTGTATTAAGGAAGATTGCCTGACTTTCTCTCAGCATGTGATGGTATTGCTGTTGTTAGGTATCATCACGTCAACTACAATTCGTTGCCACCTTATGAACTACAGATCTGAAATCTGCCCTATTCTACACAACACAGATGGACCTTTGATGTGTTTGAGCCCATTGTTACCATCACTAGGTCAATCCAAGAAGATTCTACGTTTTTGAAATATAGTGTTGGAGACAAGTACTGAGTATATCATGGTCTGCCAGAAGAATAAATAAGTCTATTTTTAAGGAACTGCAATCTGGCTGCTCCTTAGAGGATAGGAGGGTGAAACTTCATCTCACTAACACTGGTCATGTTATCACAAGTGGTTTTGGGTTACCCCCCCTCTTGGTGAAAAATGTATCATACTGAGACACTCAGTGAAAAGTCAGTGAAAGAAAGGAAGATGAACAATATAGTTCATTACAAAACAAACAAACAAATAAAAACCACAGTGAAAGTGTATTTCCTGAGTTAGACAAATGGAACTAAAAGTATTGACTGGGATATTTGGTGGGGAAAAAAAAATCTCCTTGCAGTTATTGGTAATTTGCAGTGGTGAACTGAGTGTAAATATGGGGCATATCCATGACACTCTCATTTAAATATCATCAGTAGATCACTTCACTTGTGACAGACATGAATCTTTTAGGCTGTTCAAGGTGTGCTTTCCATGGTGACACCATGGCAGTGAAGATAACAGCAAAAGTTTGCTTCTCCAGCCTTGTACCTTTTAGCTTTTTAGTATAAATATGTACATGAATTGTTTAGAAATCTTGTGGCTTAAACAATCCTTGAGAAAAAGACGGCAAATAATCTGTTAGTAAAAACAGAAAAACTAAAAACTCAAACTCATTCCCATTAAGTCAGAATTGACCCATACCTAGTCCTCCAGTGGATTTTCTGAGCTCTGATGGCCTAATGGGGTAAGGCCACCAGATATGCATTTACATTACTCAAATGAATAATTTGAAAAATAAAATTGACTTAATTTAAA